AGTAATTTTAATGGGAATACAGCAATCAATATTTGGCTTTTAATTAGGTTTTAGTGGGGTTATTTTGTGTATTTTTGTATGATTTTTTGTATCTTGTATATTGTATTTGTGTTTTTAATATGCTGTGAACCGCCCTGAGTCCTACGGGAGAAGGGCGGTATACAAATTAAATTAACCTAACCTAACCTAACCTAACCAAGTCCTGCCTTTTGGATTACAAGGGATGCCCGCAGTATTCATGCAGCTGATAAATGAGGTTCTCCAGGAGCACTTGTACAAGGAGGTTCTGGTGTATTTGGATGACATCCTAATATTCACCGAGATGAAGGAGGAGCATATCAAATTAGTCAGAACAGTTTTAAATAAAGTACGTGCAGCACGCCTCTATGCCAAGCTATCAAAATGCGAGTTCCACAAGGAAAAAATTGACTACTTGGGTTACCAGATTTCCCACCAGGGGATAGAAATGGACCCAGAGAAGGTACAGGGAGTGTTGGAGTGGACGCTGCCTCGCACATGGAAGCAATTGCAAAGCTTCCTTGGGTTCATGAATTTCTACAGACAGTTTATTTCCTATTTCACCCAAATTGCTCTCCCCATCAAAAATCTACTAAAAACAAAAGGGTGGGAAAACCGAAACCCAGTCAGCCGTTGAAATGGACTATGCAGTGCCAAGCAGCTTTTGAGAAATTAAAAAGACTTTTTCCGGCTGAGCCGGTGTTAAAATACCCAGACCTGGAGAATCCATTTGTCATTCAGGCAGACACTAGCAATGTTGTGGTGAGGGCGGTGCTGCTTCAAGAGAATCAGGAGGGGAAATTGCAACCTTGCGCGTACACATCCAAAAAGCTCACTGAAATGGAACAGAGGTGGGCAGTGTGGGAAAAGGAGGCGTATGTGATGCGATGGCTCTGCTCACGTGGAGACATTTTCTGGAGGGGAGTAAAATCCCCTTTCAGATGTGGACCTATCACAAGAACCTTGAAGCACTAAAACCCCAAGGAAATTGTCCCCAAAACAAGTTCAGTGGTCCCAGCCTTTCCACTGGTTTGATTTCTCAAATAAATACATCCCTGAGGGAAATAACTTTTTAGCTGATGCCTTGTTGAGGATGCCACAATACAAAGTCCAAAGTATTCAAACTTTGATGAACCCAAAACAATTAGCGGCTCCTGTAACCACGAGAGCTCAGGCAAAAAAAAACGAGGCCAGGGAGCAGTGACGTAGAGGCTCCAACCACCAGAAAGGAAAACCTTAGGAAAAACCCACCTTTGAACAGCAAATCAGGGATCGAGTTTAGACGAGCATTAGAAACTGACAAATGGCTCCTTAACCATAAGAACCTTTGCTCGATGAGGGACGAACTGCCCTGGGTAGGATAAAAGTTATACGTGCCAAAACCCCAGAGAGTAAAAATCATGCAACTCTGCCACGACTTGAAAATGGCGGGGCATTTTGGATTTGTGAAAACTCTCCATTTGACCAAAAGGCAATTCTGGTGTCCATCTATAAAAAAAGGACATTGAAAGCTATGTGGCAAGCTGCCCCGTCTGTGCAGTGGCAAAGCAGAGACAGGGGAAAACGATTGTTACAAGCGGTGGCCAGCCCTTCAGCACCCTGGAGACAGATCTCTATGGATTTTATAGTAGAATTGCCACTGTCACTTGGGTTGTGATGGACCTATTCTCCAAACAGATCCACTTCATACCCTGCCAGAAGATTCCCACTGCAAAAGCCTTAGACAGATTAGTTGTACTACATATATATCGGCTGCATGGGGCCCCACAACACATTACATCAGACAGGAGAGTCCAGTTCACCTCAGAGTTCTGGAGAGCTTTTTTGGACCTACTTGGTACCAATCAAGGACTGTCATCTAGTCATCATCTGCTTTGATGTATCCTTTATGGGGTATGAAAGGAATGCCTCGGGGCCATCTGCCTTATCTCAGTGCGCAGGGATGAACTGGAGAAGACCTAACAACCTTGAGAGAGGCGCCTTATCGGTTGCTTTCCCATAGCTCAATGTCACCTGTGGATTGGCCTGTTTGAACCAACCGGATGGACAGCTGGGGTGGGGTTATTGTTTCACGGGTTTAACCTATTGATTTGGGCGGGAAGTCCTCAGATCCTGCCTAGCTTTCCTGCTTTATGTACCTGCCAATAAAAGTTCCTTTTGAAATGATGCCATTTTCAAGAGTTCTGCTTTCTTGGTAGAGAAATGGAGGCAGGTCCTTACACAGGGAAATATTCAATCTTTGGAGAGTTTTCTTTTTATATCATAATTTTCCTGCCTTGGTGTGTGTGTGTGTGTTTTATTGCTCCTTTACTGCTCTATTATACACCGTATCTATATACTATTAAAACTGGCTTCTGCAACCTTAACTGGGTGGGTGAAAGGGTGCACACTAGGGCAAAACCTGTTGAACCAAGGTACCTCAAATGCATAATGCATCCAAAATACCCATGACTCCTGTGGAACTGAAATTTGGCAAATTTTATAATACATTTTATTATATAAACATTATCATAAAACAGTTTATGACAGAATACAAAATGTTATAAAACATTCCCTATGCTGATATTTGACTGTGCTTCACATCTCTGAATGTATCCCAACTTTTCTAATGAAGGCAGTGCATTAGAAAATCTGTCACTGTTGAAGGCTTTGAGGAATCGGATGAGGAAATATTTCTGAAAAGATGACCCAACAGGACACTGGTTGTCTAGTATACTACTAAAACTCTCATTCCCATAACTTTTAACAGGGAAAAATGATGTATCATAGGACAATAGCTTTTGAACTAAGGTGTCTCAAAAGGACTAGTAAACTGGGACCCATGACTCCTGTGGAACTGAAATTTAGCAAATTTTATAAAACATTTATGACATAAAACATATCATAAAATAGTTCATGATGTAGTATAAAACGTCATTAAACATTTCCTATGCTACTGTTTGCTAATGAGAGAGTTTGGTCTAGTGGTTAAGACACCAGGGAGACTGTGTCCCACCTTAGCCATGAAAATTGACTGGGTGACTTTGGGCCAGTCATTCTCTCTCAGTCAAACTTACCTTACAGGGTTGTTGCGGACAAAATACAATGTAATGCTTATAAACATTTTTATGTTTATAAAAAATAATAAAAATAAAAATAAATGAAATGTTTGACTATGCTATATAGTTCAACATGGAGCATTTTCAAGGGAGATACTTCTCTGAATGCATTCCAACATTTCCAGTGAGTGCAGGAACATTAGAAGTTCTGTCATTGAAAGCACTGAAGAATCCAGTAGGGAAATATCTCTGAAATGATGACCCAATGGGTCATGGATTAGTGTGTATTTGTGTGTGTGTGTGTGTGTGTGTGTGTGTGTAAATTGCATAAGAAATTTCTTTAAAAAATAGTAAATGCGTAATAATGAAAAATATTGGAGCATAAATATTCACTACCTGAACTGGATGTTGACCAAATGAGGCTGTGATCCATCAGATTGCCAGTATGTTTCTAGATTATCATCTCGTAACTGATCCACCCCAAATCCTATTTTGAATATACAGAAGCAGACAGTCTTCAGTATAGCATTCTTATGCAATCAATGTAACAAAATTAACTGATATATAATCTATCCTAGGATGCATACAACCTGTTATATTTGGAAGCATAGAAAAATACTAGAACATTGAGAGCATCTATCTACCGGTACCTATATGCTACTAAAACTCTTATGTCTGTGATCTTTAACTGGGTGGAATGGTGCATCATACGGTGAAATTTACAACCAAGATATATCAAATGGGCTAACTAAAGAATAAGTCTAAAATGCAGGGCCCATAACCCACATGGAACTGAAATTTGGCCAATTTTTATAAAACATTTTATAACGTAAACATTTATAAACCATTTTCTATAGTCAACTCCTGATGTTTGACTATCTTATGCAGTTCAGTTCACTATCTTATGCAGTTCAAGGCAGATACATCTCTGAATATCTCCCTGAATTTTTAAGAATTTTTCTAGTACATTAGAAGCTCTGTCATTGTTTAAGGCATTGAAGAATCTGGTCTCTGAAATGATGACCCAAGGGCCACGGGTTGTCTAATGGTAATCTAAAAAGCTCTTGTTAGTGAAAAGGAGTAGCACACCTTCTATATTCTTGAATCATTTTCTTGGACATCAAATGCCTAAAACACTTAAGTTTGATTGTCATATTGAATTTAAATTAAATCCAAAAGTTACTTTCTACTTTTTAAGGGAGTTTCTGGCCTGTTTATAAACAAGATGCTTCTGCAGTTTACCCGGTTTACAAGATGAAAGAGACCAAACAGCTTGTGAACCTATTTCTCGAACAGTTCCTGTCCTTTCCAGCTGTTTTGGATCTGCACCAGGGGGAGTCTTGTTAGCAGTGGTCATTTTTCACTAGGAAAAAAAATTAAAAGTATATTTAAAATATTCCACATTCAGGACAAAAGGAACAGTAAGGAAAATGTTGAAAAGGTCTGCCACAAATGTAGCAATCTTTGGTTGAAATATTTTAGGTAACCTTCCTCCACCCTCATTTTTTCCAGTGTTTCTCATTTTATGGACCTAATGGCTTGTAATTGCTGTAGACTAAGAATAGCAACATATTTTTGGGGTTAATAAAAACAAGAGCGAGAGTATGTTTAGGAATTTTAAATTTAAAACAAAATACAAGAGTGGAAAAAAGGATTGAGGTTAATCATGCTTATAATAAATTCTTGCATAAGCTTACCAAGAAAAATGCCTACCAATTCATTAAGCAGAGCTGGATATGGCTGTGCTATTGGCTTATCTATAGTCCTCTTTACCCCCAAATTATTACTTTGGAGATTTTACTGCAGATTAAATATCCCACAGAATAACCAATGAGGGAAAGAATCATCTAAATTTTATCCTTTACCCAAACTCCCTGAATATACTTTTCCCCTCTTCTACCACAATATCATAAAACAATTTGTCAATGTCTAAACTACCCCTCCAGGCCTCTGGACATGCATACAGGAGACCATAAAGTACAGGTAGGAAAGGACAAGAGTCCTGCTTACCATTTGATCAGACAATGTTAGAGTTCAACTAATATTTTCACTAAAAACAACATTCAGTTTGAGCAATGCAAAAGTTGTGGTAGAATCAGTGATCCATCATATGAGATTATAAATTAACCAGGATTACTCCTCAAAATCTTCTTATGGAAAAACCAAGGGATATTTCAGAACAAGTGGACTACAGACTATGTATAAGGATTGAAACTGGCAAGGTGAGAACTAATGATTTTCAATTCAAGCAGAACCATGCAAAGCTCCAACGTTCAAGGACAGAAAAAGGATACCCTAAAGACTAAAAGCCTAGGATTTAAACACTAGGTTTGACATATGTATACAGTTTGAGTGCTATGTTCTAGGCAGATCTTTTGCATTTCTATTACTTCCTTGTCTGCAGTAAGCAATTTTCCTTTTGCTATTTTGGAATGCAGGTTTGAGTTTCTGGAGAATCACTGTTGCCATGGCTAAATGGCTTAAATATTCTTCGTCATCCTCAGCCATTCATTCGTGCCTAACCCTCAGCCACTCTATGGCTCAGCACTCTTCATGCCCCTCTGTCTCACACCACCTCCTTCAGATCCGCCATGATCATCCAGTGTCATCTTTTAAAGTGTCCAGCCAGAGGATACTAGGGTGGCCCCTTCTCCTTTTTCCGCTGATCACTCCCAGCAATGATTGACTTTTCAGATGAGTCAGCTCTCATGACATGACCAAAGTCTGACAGCCTCTGATTAGCAATCTTGGCTTCAAGCGATATTTTGGGTGAGGTTCAGTCTAGGACTTCTTTGTTATTTTTGCAGTCCATGGGATGCATAATAGTTGCCTCTAACACTTCTTTGGGCTGCAGCACTTCTTTGGGTTTGGGGAGGGCAGTTAAATATTAAGACTGCAATAATACACATAGTTAACAAGATACTCTTATTCTGAGTACTCAATGTGGTCTTCTTGAGTTCCTACCAGAGTAGAAATGGAATATATATCAAATAATAAGTATAAATGATGCTCTGGAAATTAGCAAGCTATAAGACCTCACAAATCAAACCGATGCAAATTTTAAAAAAAAATGTTTTTCCTTCTCATTTCAAATACCCGAAAAATACAGACAGTTCTCAATTTTTTATGATTCCATAAATCTATCTCTCAGAACCTGGACCCCACTAAGACGGAAACAAACATCTCAATTTTCCCAAAACATATATATATCGATAAAGGAGAACATATACATACTGTATATTTAGAACATGCGCGCACACACATACACATAGGGGAGAGAAAGAGAGAGAGAGAGAGAGAGAGAGAGAGAGAGAGAGAGAGAGAGAGAGATCCTGGTATTACATTTATCAGGAAGAGTAAATTGAATAATATTAATTGTGAATATTTTTTACTATTAAAACTATAAAATATCAATGATAGCTAATTGGGACTGTATATAATAGTACTTCCTTGACACTGAATTTTTTTAAAAAATGCAAATTATTAGAAATGTGTAATGAAGATTGTTTTATTTTCTCTTCTAAGCTGAAGTGTTTCAGAAGTTGCTCAAAACCTAGACTTACTGCTGAGATGTTCCTTTTGCCTCACTGGCACACACTTGACTAGTTGCTCTCCTCCTCTTTCTCTTATCTTTCTCCCCATCCCTGTTTGATAATTGGGGCAGTAAATTGTAGCATATCTAGATTATTTCTATATATAATTAGTGTGAGAGAGATCTCATTAGTTGAAAAGCATCAATGTAGAAGAACATAAAATAGGACCTAGAACAGGAGATGTGACTTAATATTTTCCCATAGATAAAACTCAACAATGGGACTGTCTCTTAGCTCAAAGCCATTACAAGGCTAAAATGAATAATCGGCATAGTTCCATCCAGAAATCCTTGAAAAAACAGAATTATCAAAAATGCCTATTTTTCTTATATAATTGATGATTCAACCAATTTATTTTATACTTGAAAATAATCAGTGATGAATTTGAGTATAACTAAAAGTTATAGAGTAAAGGAGTCATCCGTACATTAAACATCACAAGACAATTTTTGCTGAAATCATATCACATATTTTTGCTGATATTCATCTTTATCGTAAAAATAAAAGAATAAAATTATTCTTTAGAGAGTTAACTGTATTAATAATAAAAATTAACAGGAATGGTTTATAAGATAATTACACAATGGGGAAAATTTCAGAAAGACCTTTAAAGTGTATTAATTACAGTTACTGGAGTGATTTCAAATATATTAATAGCAAGAACAGTTTCCAGTGCATTAGATCTTGTTTCCAAACTGTTTTTACATTATTTAAAATGTCAAGAATCTGTGGTTTGTGGCCACGTGTTAATTTTCTTTTAGAAAACCATTCTCCATTTTAATAATATGGTCCTTTATTGTTAAAAAACAGAATCTTCCCTGACATTAATGAGAAAATTTCCCTAGCCACAGGATTAGAAAACAAATATTTAGGAAGTCATAATCAAATCGTGACTTAACTGTATTACAGAAATAATACAGGTATTTGTAATTAAATTTCTGTGTATGTAGATTATTGTTTACAAATTTGCTACATTCTGATTTATTTATACCTGCCAAAAATAATCTTTTTATAAGTGAAAAATGAGTTACCAAATAAAGCCACTATGATAGCAGATGAAATATATCAAAGACAGCCTTAAAGAGAAAATTGTCCATAGATGAAGGGACAGAACAAAGCTTGATTTGGTATTCTAAAGATTTGGAGTCTTTGCTATAGAATACCTGGTTCCTACTATAATGCAATATTATTGATCTTAACTAAGAGCCCCAAGGGAGTTCTTCTTAATGCAGGATCCAGATGTTACACACAAAGTCCTTTAAGAAATGCCATTAAGGGATTTAAAGGTTCATAGCAGCATGGAATTGTTTCCCCAAAATACAGGTAGTCCTCAACTTACAACTTCAACTGAGCCCAATATTTATGTTGCTAAGTGAGAAATTTATTGAGTTTTGCTCAATTTTACAACTTTTCTTGCCACATTTGTTAAACAAGTCATTGCAGTTGTTAAATTAGTAACGTGGCTGTTAAGTGAATCTGGCTTCCCCATTGACTTTGCTTGTCAGAAGTTTGCAAAAAGTGATCGTATGACCCTGGGATACTGCAACTGTCATAAATGTGAGTCAGTTGTCAAGCATCTGAACATAAATCACATGACCATGGGGACACTGCAATGGTCATAACCGTGAAAAAGGATTGTAAAGTCACTTTTTTCAGTGCCACTGTAACCTCAAACAGTCACTAAGTGAACTGTTTTAAGTTGAGGACTACTTGCATACTGGTATTCATATGCAACTGACACAAAACTGCAATAACTTCAGATTTGCTAGCTACATTAGCATCTGGATAGCTACATTTACATCAGCAGAAGCTACCAGGCCACCATCAGGGACAACCATTATGTAAACACTAGAGCAGGGGTAGGCAACCTTGGCTCTTTTATGACTCGTGGACTTCAACTCCCAGAATTCCTGAGCCAGCATGGCTGGCTCAGGAATTCTGGGAATTGAAGTCCACGAGTCATAAAAGAGCCAAGGTTGCCTACCCCTGCACTAGAGAAATCTGTTTTGGAACAGTACAGCATAGCACAGATCCAATTACTCTAGAAAAGGTAACAAACAAAGGCAACATTGTTTGTATCTTATAATTTATGATTGTAACTATGATTTATGATCTATGACTTATCACTCTGTTATCTGTATGTATGATGAGAACTTATGCACCGGAGACAAATTCCTTGGGTGTACAATCACACTTGGCCAATAAAGAATATTCTATTCTATTCTATTCTATTCTATTCTATTCTGTTCTAAATTCTATTCCTGCCTATTTTCCCCTGAAAATAAAGAAACAGTATTATTAAGTTGGGTACTTGGTTCTACAGAGAAAATACCATCTCATCTGACAATTGTACAGTACATTATTTAAATCAGCCGCCTTCCAGAGAGCCATTTCTCCTGGATTAAGTTTCTGCAATTTTTACCTACTTTAGAACTGAATCCAACTATTTGTTCAAGAGGTCCACAGTCTTTTTGTAAAACTGCAGGGAGACTTGAGAATTTGAGGACAATAATGTCCAAACTCTAGATAGTGTCTCCTGAAGACAGCATGTGGCAGATATATTTTATACAGTATAAAAGATAAAACTTAAACTCTTTGGGTAAGCCAAAATAATGGGGCAGAATAGAAATAATATACAGAATATTGCCTTTGTAAACTTTTTCAAAAGTTTAGATATAATACTGAGGCTAAAGAAGGAAACAGGAGAATATCATGTTCAATGTTACTAAGAGTCACTATAGGACAAATTCAGTGAACAGTTACTGAATAGCTCCACTATCCAGTAAGCAGTACAAGTCATAATGATCATGAGTGTTTTGGTCTTAATCCTTGGATCGTATATAGACTAGAATAGATCTAGACAGTGTTTTAAAAAAAGTATTGTCCAGAAATGTAAGGTTAGGCCAGTCAATAACTGTATGCATCATTTGCAAGGCTTCAGAAGTTATTCCCAGTCATCTCCACATGCATGGAAATTTTAAATTTCTTCCCCAATAAAACAAATGGTTATGCAAATAACACGGTAGATTTAACAGTTAAAAAATAGATGCTTCTACATCCTCCCATGTGCTGCAAAGCACTTTACACACTTTTAAGCATCAGATTCATAGGGTACAAAGAGCAATTGGAGCTCCATGCTTTCTCTGAGGTCCAGAACTTGAACTTGTCCAGGGTTGACCAAGATCTACAGAATATCCAAATTCTAATTAATGTATCTTAATGAACTTCTTTAACTGAGATGTAGATATCACAATTTGGCAAGGCATTTTATTGGCTATCTCCAGCACAAGCTGTCAATACCATGATAACTAATTCACTGCAGATATGATTTTGTTTACAAACTGCAGGAAAAATTGAGTCCAACAGGCTTCAGCACTCATGCTGGAAAGTTCTTTTACTATTATAAATAACTTCACTGAACAGCCTCATGTAAATGAAATGGGGGGAAATTGCTATTTTGCTACCAAAGAATAAGGCCAAAATAAAGTTTGCAATTATTTATATCTTTAGTTATCCGTACTTTAATTAACAGTCAAATTAATAATCTCATTGCAGTTATTTGAAATTCTAGAGTGGATGGGTTTCCATAAACTGGTTGAGGATACTTCGGGATATCTAATATCTAAATTATTTCTTCTACTTAAGTGAGATTTGATCTTAAAACAAAATTTGGCTTCCCTATTTCAAGCACATTTCAGGTGTAGTATATGACAAGAGGCATAATAACCCCCATAAATCACTATCTTGAAGCATAACCATTGTTCAAACAATGTTCCTGGTAAGATAATGGAAGAATCTGATTACTGAAAATGATCTGGCCCCAAGGCCCTAAACAGATACATTTATACCTGAAATTAAAATATGACCGGTTTATGACAAGAGATATTGCAGATTATGGGACAGAAACAGTGAAAAAAATACCTGTTTTCAATTAAGTTCCAATTCAACCTTCTTTATTTCTTATTCTGCTTTCTTATCTTTTTTATGTCTCTCTACTTCCTTACTTGCATGGCACATTCACATTTTCTATGTTCCCTCTGTATATTTTTAAGAATATATATAGAAGCTACTTGGACAAGCAGCAAAACGTTTCAAGAGCAAAAAGAAAAGTCCATTTGCCATGACTCAACTTCCAGACAACTCTACCTGGATGACTGAAAATCCTCACAGATGCATTATATATAAAACACCTTATTAATGTTGCTCCCTCTTCACCTATAGTATTCATATGGATTTGTGTACGTTAGTAGATACCAGATACAAAGAAAAATGCGCACGTGTAGCAAAGCTACGACAGAAGCTTCTACCCTACCCTACCCTACCTTCCTTCTCCTAATGTTGCTTGTAGCTTTAGTCAAAGCATCAAGGATGGTCCGCTTAGGTGCGGAATAGCCTCCGTTCTACAACAGCTTTCTCCAGCATGGAAGCTTTTTTCTTCGCTCTAAGTTTTTAAATACTTTTTTAAATGTCTTTTTAGAAAAATACCGAAGGCCACTTCAATTTTTCGGTTTTAAGAGATCCCTATATGGTGTGAAACAAGACTAACGCCTGTTAACAGCAAGGCAAAACGAAGATGGTCACTAAACGTTCCCTAACCTCCAGTAGTAGCACGCGATAGAAGACTTACTTACACGTCCCGCTACGGTAACAGCGCTACCTACTTTTTGGCCACGCCCTTCCACTCTCCCCAGTTCTCGGTTAACTGATCGTCTAGCATCAGGGGTAGGCAACCTGGGCTCTTTTATGACTCGTGGACTTCAACTCCCAGAATTCCTGAGCCAGCTTGGCTGGCTCAGGAATTCTGGGAGTTGAAGTCCACGAGTCATAAAAGAGCCAAGGTTGCCTACCCCTGGACTCTAGCTCCGTCTCCTCCCCGCCACCCGGTCGCTAAGTGATGATGTCAGGCAGAGTGCCACCTCTCGCTTGCACTTCCGGCGTCCGGTCTCGTCTATGGCGCTGTGCGTATCTCATTATAGACTTCATCTCTATAGTGTGAGGCGCCGGCTCCTCCTTTAAGGGTGGCGGCCATTTTGGCCGGGTGGCAGTCGGAGCACATTGTTCCCGTGTCCACCTGCGAGCCACGGGGGCCTTGAGAGTGCTTCATTCGTAGCCCCCCTTCTTGTTCTTACCACCTCGGACGGGAGATCCGTCTTCTTCCCGCCTCTTAATTTTTTCCTGGTAAGTGGAGCTAGCGGCTAGCGGTAGTTGGGCCCGGTCCTCTCCTTCTCCGATCAGGTGGAGTGGGCTTGGTGGCTGTAGATAGGGGCTGGCTGGGCCGCGGCTGTCCAGCTGCCTCGAGGCTTCTTTCCTGTCGCGGTGAAAGAGAGGGACTGCCTCGCGTGTGAGAAGGTAGAACAAGCCCTAATTTGTACTGCCGCGGTTCCATTGACGCCCCTTCTTCATCTCCGGAGCACGTTTATTTCTTAGCCCTTATATATTTATATTTCGCTTTCTGAGTTGGCTCAATGTAACATGCTTTGGATCGCCCCTACAGCCCTTCATCCTCATAACGGTTGGGCGAGGAAAAAATGGCCGCAAAGTCTCTCCTTAAACCAGTGGTTCTCAACCTTTTTAATGCCGCGACCCCAACCGGTCGTAAGTCGAGGACTAAACCGGTCGTACGTCGAGGACTACCCAACCGGTCGTAAGTCGAGGACTTTCCCTCCCCGGGAGCGCCGCGCATGCATGGTTCCGCCCCCTGCGCGTAGCTGGCAAGCGGCAGAGACGGAGCAGGCCGACCACCAGCTGGCCCAGCCCAAGGGAGGTAAGGCACCCGCCGGAAAAGGGGGAAAAAATGGCGGACAGCCTTGCTTGGCGACCCCCATGAAATGGTCGATCGACCCCAAATGGGGTCCCGACCCACAGGTTGAGAACCACTGCCTTAAACAGTTGAGAAGACTTCAATTGGATTCCAATCCGGCACTTTTCACTACGACACCGCAGTGTTACACCCCAGTTGAACCCCTTAACTCTTCTCTCTTGGTAAATTTAGGTCTTCTAAGTAGATAACATAAAGAGCATTTTATTTTCGACAAAACTCTTTTTCAAGGAATTTTAAATTTCTTCCCCAGTAAAACAAACGGTCATGCAATTAACACGGTAGATCTAACAGTTAAAAAATAGATGCGTCTACATCCTCCCATGTGCTGCAAAGCACTTTACACGCTTTGAAGCATCAGATTCATAGGGTACAAAGAGCAATTGGAGCTCCATGCTTTCTCTGAGGTCCAGAACTTGAACTTGTCCAGGGTTGACCAAGATCTACAGAATAGCCAAATTCTAATTAATGTATCTTAATGAACTTCTTTAACTGAGATGTAGATACCACAATTTGGCAAGGCATTTTATTGGCTATCTCCAGCACAAGCTGTCAATGCCATGATAACTAATTCACTGCATATATGATGTTGTTTACAAACTGCAGGAAAAATTGAGTCCAACAGGCTTCAGCACTCATGCTGGAAAGTTCTTTTACTATTACCGGCTTATTTCAAGACACTTTTAATCAGAAGGGTCCCCCTTGCCCCAGCTGTGGCACCCTGGTTAGAGAATGTCCCTTTCCCCACTTATCTGTTATCTTTTCTGGTCCCAATGAAATCCTTTTGATTTGACCATCAAGATGGTCATTTTTACCTCTGCTTTTAGATATTATATTTGTTTAAGCTTTGAATTTCTCCTGTGCTGGAACCCGTGTTAGTGAAGTAAGTAAGTATGGTTTTAATGCTATAAAAAAAGATGATCATGGCAAAGTGTTAAACTCTTGTGTACACCAGATAACTTGCAGTGTTCATATTAGAAAGTTGATAAAAGAGACAGCATAGTTATCAGTGTTAATTAGGTAGAGATAATTGGTACTAGTATAATCCCTAGATATTTAAATAATTTTTCTTTGACCAGCAATGTTTATTAACGTAAGTTAACATTATAAAACTGCTTTATGAGTCTTGTGTTATGCTAATCATCTACAACAAGTGGTTGTAAACTATTGTATGTGAATGCTTCCCATATTTTCAGTAGTTCAATAATTATGAACAGATAAAATGTTGGCTGTCTGGAGATAATGTAAATTGGGGTTCAGCAACATTCTGAATTTTTAGAGAAAAACTGCTTTGGAGTTTGGGTGTATCTAATGCAAGATAGCACCTGACAGGAACTAGTTAAATCAACACCTTTGGGGTTTTTTGGGGGGGAGGGGTGGTTTTTGAGATTGTGCCACAGCTGCAAATAGTAGCCACACAAATCCAAGAAAAGTTTATGTATCATTATGCAGATTCAGTGCTCTGAATCTGTTTTTTCTTTCAAACACAGCACTGCTCAGTACTTTGCTTAATATCAATGTTATTTAGTTTTACAGTCCACTGATTATCTACAAAAATTCATTTAAATAACTCTTAAAAATCAATAAAATTACTGTATTATATGAAAGTTCTATGTATTTTATGTGGTGAAAAAATGTAAAATTCAACTAGGCTATTCAAAGCATATATATTATCTGCAGTTCTGTGTACTTGATCAAATACTACTAATTGGTTTTTGATTTAGACTTTGATACCAGATACACTTAAATGCTGTTTGAGCACCATATTTTGGCAGAATAGTGGCTATAAATTCAGTAAACAAGAAAATAAAGTTTTTAGTTTTAGGTAGTCCCAGTAGAAAAGAATATATGTAGCTCAGGATTGAGCTGTGCAGTCCCTGTTGCTATCTGAGATCAATTTGCTTGAAGACATTTCATTACCCAGCTAGATAACATCAGGGCAACTAATGCTGCTGTGATGTTACCAGAAGAATAGCTAGTGCAACTAGGACAAATCATCAATGCACTGATGATGTTACTTAGTTGGACAATGAAATGTCTGCAATCAAATAGCCAAATTCAGAGAGCATCAAGCCTCCAGAGTTTTATGCAATATACGAAATGCTTTGTATTTTAATTATTTAAGTGAGTCTTATACTTGGACTAGAGCCATGAAATGATGCCTGCCTTTTTTTCTTTTTATTGTGTATATCATATTTCTTCTGAAAAAACTAATATGACTACAGATCTCATTCAGAATTTGTCACATCTGGCGATAGGGAGTATATGAGAAAAAAATATGGATAACTTTAAGCAGTCAGTTTATCAGATTAAATGGACATCAGCTATTGAAAGTCACAACTTAAGAATTGAGCTTTTTCAAAAACTCTTGTGTCATAGTTCATATATTGTTTGTATTGCTGGAAAGCAGTCAGATTTGTATTCTGTGGAGTTTGGTTTTAAATAGTATACCACAGAAGGCACTGCCATGGAAGAAAGGCTACGTTGATTTTAGCTTTTCCTGCAGAGATCAATGCAAAAGTGAGATAATACACTTTCTCCCACCAAGCATGCTTATTCTTTGACTTTACTTTGTGGATGGATCATTGATACCTACTTTTCTTCAGTGCCTCCTGGATATTTATTATTTCTGTTTGTTCTTTTATTCTAGAACCATCACTTTGGAATCCTTAGTTTGTGTATGTGCATGATCTGTAAATCCTTACTATGGCTGATAAACTAACAAGAATTGCTATTGTGAACCATGATAAATGTAAGCCAAAGAAATGTCGCCAGGAATGCAAGAAGAGTTGCCCTGTAGTCCGAATGGGTAAGAAATGCAAGGTCACTTACGTACAACTATTTTTAAAAAAATGTAAAATCAGAACAGAAAAAAAAACCATTTAAAATATTTTTCAGCTATAAAGTCATATTTGTAAATAGTGTGTATTCAAGTAAATTGATTGATTTTTATTTTAAAATTGATTTTTATTTTAAAATTAAGAAATATGTGCTTACGATACCTAAATTCAGGATTGTTTGAGACCATTTACAGCGGTCCCCAACAGGAGTCCCCAACTTTCCGGGTTGGCGGCCCGGCACGGGGGGGGGGAAGAGGGGATGGTTTTGCATGACAGAAACATATGTACGTTCACACAGCTTCATTTGTGTGAGCAGCGGGCACACAAGCGCCTGCCGCTCGTGAGAGTGGCTGCAAGCACAAGTGCCTGCCACTCACACGAGAGGGGCTGAGAGCACAAGCGCCTACCGCTCACACAACAAGGGCTACAAGCGCAAGTGTGCACTACTCATGCAAGCCCCTGCACTCATGCAAGTAGGACTGCACACGCACACACACTCACCTGCCACTCGTATGGACTGGTTCTGAATGGCTGCAGCCTGGGGATTGGGGACCCCTGGTTTAGAAAATTATGTTTTGATCAGAGCTAATACTGCTCTGAATAATTCTTGTTCTTATTAATTTTTTTTATTCAGGAAAATTGTGCATAGAAGTCACATCACAATGCAAAATAGCATGGATTTCTGAAACATTATGTATTGGTTGCGGTATTTGTATTAAGGTATGGATCATTAATAATTGAAAAATACTTCTATATCTTTCAATTAGGACAGTTCAAGAATGGATGCTTTTCCTTTAACTTTTTCCCCTCGTTGGATGAGATGTCTTACTTTTTGTGCTGCTTCTTTGCTTGTCCTCCCAGACATTCAAAAGACTGGTGAAAGGCTTGGATTCTGCATAAATGTAAACCATAGTTCAATGTTACACAATGCTTTTTTACCTTTGTGGCTAGGTAACAGGTGATTTAACAGTTAGTGAAATTGATTTGTCCTTGATTAAGCAGCTGATGCTGTGGCTTAGGACTAATGGTTTTAATAAGCAGTCAGTAGCTTTC